CACACCCTCCATCCTTACACACAACCTCCATCCTTACCCACACCCTCCATCCCATCCTTACACACAACCTCCATTATTACACACAACCTCCATCCTTACCCACACCATCCATCCCATCCTTACACACAACCTCCATCCTTACACACAACCTCCATCCTTACACACACCTTCCATCCTTACCTACATCATCCACTCCTTACACCTACTATTCTCTCCATACAAACAACACACAACCTACCCTCACTACACACATCTGCCCTTCTTACACAATCACTCAACCCGTTACACACCTTTCTCTCCTTACATTTAGGCTACTCACCTTAAACTCTAAACCTCCATCCTAACACACTACCCCTCCCCGCCTTACACACACATTTCCCACATTAGAATCACCCTCTCATTCTTACACCCATCTCCTTATCTAGCCAGTAGCTAGTATATAGCCACTCATCTACTTCTAATATATATATATATATATATATATATATATATATATATATATATATATATATATATATATATCCTATACAGGTGTACCCAGGACAAGCAGGCCAACACCGCTCACCATGATGACGACAGATGCAAAAACCGACAACGCGAAAGCCCAAGCCAGGCTGTCGCGCGTGTAGATAGAGTAGAGTATAGCGCCCAGCACACATACGACACCTGTGATTAGATTCACGGGATTAGGATTAAGCAAAACACAAGAAATTATATGCCGTCAGCAATCAGAGCAACAACTTCCAGAAACTGGGTCGTTAGTGGGTTCCCTCGGTGTGTTGGGAGGTTAAAGTTTACATCACGTGACATGTACACATGGACTTGGTAGTGCTATAGATAATATACACACACATTCAAGTTGTTTATAACAATGCACACGTTAAGCACGTGTGTAGGGTACATCAAAAAGCAGCTTACCAAGCAGGTTCTGTGAGCACCCCACGTAGTCCTTGCACGACCACAGCCCCGTGTAGATGTAGGTGTAGAAGGCATACAAGGCTGACCACGCCGGACTGCTGAACGCCACGATAAACCCACACACAGCCAGCACCAGCAAACGGAAACAACTCACCAACTGCTGCACGTAATCAACCCGCGCCATTTCACTTAGACTGTCTTGTAGCAGTCTACCTGCGGTGCTAGATCACGTGTCTTGTAGCAGTCTGTCTGGGGTGCTGGATCACGTATCTTGTAGCAGTGTGTCTGGGGTGCTAGATCACGTGCCTTGTAGCAGTCTATCTGGGGTGCTAGATCACGTGTCATGTTCTCATAGATTACGTGCCTTACTCACGTAGTTGACGGCTTGCTGAGTGAAATCACATGAAATCATGTAAAAATCCCATACAATCATATGAAATCCCACTAAATCTCTTTAAATCACATAAAATCCCATCATATCCCATAAAATCACGTGAAATCCCATGAAATCCCATTTAACTCATGTGAAATCCAATGAAACCAAGTGCAATCAGATGTACAAGTCTTCTGCAAGATGAAGACAGTAAAAGCTGCGACCACCTACTGCATCACGTGATCACCGTGTTTCTTGTACTCCAGCGACACACACGGTGTACCAAGCAGTTGTCAGCAGACGTGAGGAAACTAAAGCACGACTTTTTCACTAACCTGATCTGGTGTAGGTCACGTGACTGGCTATTGTTTACGTCTCTCTACTTTACACTTACAGAGTATTTTGTTGTGAGACGATTGAGTAGGCTGCTAGAGTATTTAGTTGTGAGACGATTGAGTAGGCTGCTAAAGTATGGTAATGTGAGACGATTGAGTAGGCTGCTAGAGTATTGTGTTGTGAGACGATTGGGTAGGCTGCTAGAGTATTGTGTTATGAGACGCTTGAGTAGGCTGCTAGAGTATTGTGTTGTGAGACGATTGAGTAGGCTGCTAGAGTATTGTGTTGTGAGACGATTGGGTAGGCTGCTAGAGTATTGTGTTGTGAGACGCTTGAGTAGGCTGCTAGAGTATTGTGTTGTGAGACGATTGAGTAGGCTGCTAGAGTATTGTGTTGTGAGACGATTGAGTAGGCTGCTAGAGTATTGTGTTGTGAGACGATTGAGTAGGCTGCTAGAGTATTGTGTTGTGAGACGATTGAGTAGGCTGCTAGAGTATTGTGTTGTGAGACGATTGAGTAGGCTGCTAGAGTATTGTGTTCTGAGACGATTGAGTAGGCTGCTAGAGTATTGTGAGGCGATTGAGTAGGCTGCTAGTGTATTGCGCTGTGAGACGATTGAGTAGGCTGCTAACTGAAATAGAACCTCGGCTGTCGTCGATAATTTGTCCGAAACCCAGTGGCGTAGGCAGGCGAAGGGGGGGGGGGCGATGTGGTCCACCCAGGGTTGATGTTTAGCCCAAGACTTTTAAAATTGCCATTAGTTTGATCATGGACATTTTCTCTATTTCCGTGCATGTGACAGTAGAGCCAATTCATCAGCCAAATCATCAGGCGTCTTCCAGTTGGTTGATTAGCTCCCCTGCAATTTCTCTTGGCCATTTTTTAGTAGCTTCTCTCACAGCCCAATCTATAACCACCAAGAAGATGACAGGTGGTATGACACATTCTGGTACGACTCCAGTTCTGACTATGAACCATTTGCTTTGCTGATGTTCATGGCATCATTGGTGACCCTTTCTAGCAGGCCATATACCTCGAATGTCTTCTATGGTATTAGATGCTTGATGCCATCAAAAGCATTGTCAAAATCTATATGATAATATATTTAGAGGAGTTCCATTATACTTACGGTTCTCCTATGTTTAGCACAACAAATGTGCACGTTGTATGATCTATTCCCTGTAAAGCCAACTTGTTGCTCATGCAACATCTATTCCATGTCTATGCAGCAAGACATTACACACAATGCCCTGAATCTGACACTGACAGAAGGTAAATGCCTGTCTAGTTTTCATAATTAGTCACGTCGCCTTTCCCCGATTTTTATACAGTTACCTCTGAGTGCTTTTACATCGTGCGTGTGTGACGTGGATTGCCTATAACGAAAAGGTATAGGTACGGAAAAGTCTGTGAACGAGGCAGTGTGTGAAGCAATGTGGTGTGTCGTCAACATCGTGTACCTACTCGTCAGTTTTTCTTCCTGTCATGTGTTCTTGTGATTGATGATAAGTATGCACCCGTGAAACAGATTCTCGTTGTGGATTGTATTTATTTATAATTGTTACGCCTGGCCCAATTGAGCCAAAAATACATAAAAAGCGGAATGTAACGTCGTGTATCTTTTTAAATTTCAGAAGAGAGATTTACCAATCTCACGAACAAAGATCTCAGGACGTCAAGTCTTTTATTTTATATATTTTGTCGACAATGTAAACAAGAAGTAACATACAGAAGTAAACTATGTAAAAAATACAAAGCACAGACGCATGCAATGTATGTAAATGGTTGTAACTGTGCAAGAAGTTCTAGGCCAGGAAGCGTTCTGTTTGCTTAAGTCCCCCCCCCCCCCCTACAAGTTCTGCCAAATGTTTTTATCGTGTGTTCATTGAGCCCGCAGCTCAGCAAAATGTCGGGTAGAGTGAGCTGGGAAATCCCGTTCGTTAAACACATCAATGGCCGAGTTTATTTTTTGTCTGCACATGATATACGTTTGTTTTTGTCTGTCTACCAATGCTCTATCGTTGGGATAAATCTAGTGCCACTGGTAGCTCCCAGGCATTGATGCACTTGACGACTGTCCACTAAGTGTGGCCACATGTGCAGTGTCCCTAAAGTTGCAGGAGAACAATTTTTGTCAGGGTCAATTTTTAAATTTTTTGCCTGTATTTCTATGTTTATTTTCAATGTTGAAGCAATTATATTATTTAATGAACTAATTTAGTATCGCTGTAAATTCACAAGCACGCTTAAAAGCTAAATCATATCATACAAACTTGAAACCTTGGAATAATATGGGTGTTGACAATTGAATGATTTCTGTTCATCAATAACATACAAGTTAGTGACAATTGAACAATTAGACATTACGGGTGTAACTTGATTTTACGAAATGTTATCGTATTCTTGTTCATTTTCTAATACTAAAATTCAATATTATTTGGTATTTATCATTTAAATTTGAATATTTTTGTTTTCATTTTCGAATATTCGTTGGTATCATGCCCTGCAAGGTAAATAAACAATTATGTATATGTGGGACCCTGTTTATAAATATTTTAATATGTGCTGCTACTTTATTTGGCGAATTAGATTTGTTATTGCATTATGAAAGAACCATAAATTAGGCACTGTTTGAAATAAATTTTTTTCAAAATCCTTATCTTTACTTTAACCGAGGAAAACTCAACACGCAAAACCCCAATTTTAGTGTTTTATGATGCAGCAATTCAAATGTAAATAGTTAAGCTATTTTTTTGACATTAAAACAATACAGTCAATCTATTTCTTTTACCACAGCAAAAGAACAGCCTCTTCAATATTCCAAACGGTATGTTCTGTTGCACTGTAGTTCTATTATTTTGATTTTTTATATACTGCCCTAACCTACCCTGCCCCAACCCACCTTACCTTACATTACCCTAAGCTACTGTACGCTACCCTGTCCTACCGTACATACCCAACATTTACCCTGCCTTGCCTTGACTAGCTTCTACGTGCCGTCCTGTTCCGAGCCTTGCTGTTTTGATGTGTTTGATCAGGTATGTTGGTTCTAACGAATATTGTTGCGAAAGATAGAATGAAAAAAACCACACCACGCCTCGCCGTACTACGATTCATGCGTATCGATCAATATAGCATATATAGTCGGCAAGCCTGCCGTACGAAACAACGTTAGCGATTTATATAATAGATATTCAAAGACTACATTTTTACTGTTATAGCCTACTTTATTATCACTACTGCAAACTTCTTCTTCCGTAACTTTGTGACCTATAGCAGACTATATATTGAAAACGAGGAATTTTAAACAAAGATACAATGTTGTAAATTAACTTTATTTTTAATTTCTGTTACATTCAACAACTTAGGAAAAAATTATCTTATCACTATGATTGAAAGTATAATCAATACTATTATCGATTAAATGTTAACATTAATGTTAAACCTTTTCTAAAATTATCTGTTCCATGTTACATAAAAATACAATTGTTTCCATATCAGTTTACCATATCATTTACTTTCTGCTTTTTTTCACATTTGTCGAACTTTCATGGAAACTTCTTCTAGAGAGTCATACCTGCCTGTAACGCTAGCCCATATAATACCTTGATTCCTTTGATGACTTTTCCATTTGCCGTTGATGTTAACATAATGACACCAGCTAAACCACCAACCACCAGTCATTTTTACAGCACAGTTTTCTGACGGAAAAACATCGTTATCACGGTCTGTGGTTGTAAACATCGAGCCATTGTGAAATTTAAGGTCGTCTTTAACATTTCCACCACTGAATGACGTATAGGTCATCCTGTAATTTGCTGTTTCATTTTCTACCTTAAAACCTGTGTACACAGCGTAGTACGACTTTCTTTTGTACTCCATGTCAATCCTTAGTTCATTATAGCCCTGTGTGTGATATATAATAAGAAAATTAATACAATATTTCATTTTAAATATGCACATTTATAACAGTGTTTGTAAATGTATAAACCGTAATTTAACTTTTGTGGATAATAAACAAGACATGGATGTATTTAATTCTTTGTTAATTAAACGTATTCCCTGATAGATTTAAAATAATAGTAATATGGCGCTTGTTATGTTAATGTACTTTAGGTGCACTGAAGTACAATCTAAAAAAAGAGAACAGGCTTGAAAAGAAAATTCAACATTTTTTCCGATCAGTTTGAAAATTCTTGTTCCGAAACAATTTCCATTTCCTGCTAACTTTCGTACCTATGCAGATTTCGAATCTTTTTGAATTTTCGATTCTGCTTAAATTGTCCGTTCCAGTAAAACTTGTGTCTCCGGTTATTTTTTTATCCTTTTCCAGGCTATTTACCTTTAGCTGTTAAATGTAATCTCCTGTTAAATTCTGTTCACTTTAACATTTTCACTCCAATTATATAAAAATTCAAGTTTTCAGTTTTATTTCCGGATCCGTTATATTTGTCTGTTCTGGATAATATTCTATAACTGCTTTAGTTTTATTTCCGGCTTAAGTTCAGTTTACGGTAAGATGTTCCATTTCCATTAAATCGTGGATACTGTTTCTATTCTAGTTTTGGATCAAATTTTTATTCGGTTAAATTTCGTTACCTGTTAAATTCATGCAAATGTGTCTGCTCCAGTCAAGTATATTTTTCCTGTTATATTTCCGTGTCCGGTCAGTTTCCAACGAAATCCAAAGTTTTAGATCTTGTTACAATTTCTCTCCAGCTAAATTTCAGTCAATGTTGGACGGAATTTTTTCCAAATCAAATAAGAATTGCATGTTACCTCCGATTTCAGAAAGCAATTCTGCTTGACTTTGATTTAAATTTTAGTTTACATACAAGAACACACTACAAAGGAACAGGGCAACAGTTTTCCGAATTTGGGGTTAAATATCTTTCACGTTTTAGGCTACATTTTTGTTTATGCCTAAACTTTATATTCAATCAAAATTCCGGTTCCTGACAAAGTTCCATTTACAAGTAAAGTTAGTTCTCTTTAACTTTCTGCTCAGTCTAATCTCCGTTTCCAGATTAACTTCAATTGTCAGTTAAATTTTCGTCTTCTGGTGTAGTTTAGTATTTCATTTAGAATTTAATGTCCGTTTCTGGCTAAATTTTTATTTTATTTTAAATTTTCAGATTCGATTACCGTTTTTGTTTTTATTAAAATATCATGCTGCTGGAAAATATTCATTTCCAGTTAAAACTACTTGTCCTTTTTTCTGTTTGTATTAATTTTTCGGGTTTGATTTAGGTTTGGTTCGTGTAACATTGCTCTTGCAGTTAGAAGTTTAGATTCTGGTAAAAAATAGTTTAAATTTTTTTTAGTTCTTGTTTAATTTCCTGACCTGCCTCCCGTTAGTATTCCAATTGTGGTGAACTGGTGTAAATTTTGTTGCTCTTCTTTTACATTTAGATTTAGGTTTATGTTTAGATGGCGGTTAAAGCTCCGGTTCTATTTACAATTTTATTTCTTGAAACAATTCCTATTTTGGTTTAGGTTCAACTTCCCGGTTAAGTGATCGGTTTCGATTGTTGTCCAAGTTCAGGTTGAATTATCGCTTCCGATTTTCTTTCCATATTTCGATTGAGGTTAAATCGCCGTTTTCGCAGAAATGTCCCAGAAATGTTGCTTTGGGTGCAAATACCATTGCTCGCCGTGTTGCAGACATTGGTGAAAACATCGTGACTCAAATAGCAAAAAATGCAAGCAAGTTTCGAAATTTTTAAAATTGCAATGGATGAGTTGCTGGACAGCTGTTTCACCTCTCAACTTCTTGTACTCATTAGCGGTGTTGACGAAGACATGAACATAACACAAGAGCTGGCTATATAGAATGTATATATAGAATGTATGGCACTGTTACCATCGATAGTTCAGAGACATGCTGAAAGATACAAACACATAATCGCAAAATTTACCATATTTCACAGCAGTAATTTGGCTAATTTTGCGAGAAAGTTCTGAGCAGAGTATCTAAGTTAAGAAAGGAAATAGGTGACTTCCTGGAAAGTAAAGGCAAGCCACAGATGAAGAAAAGGGTATAGAAATTGGCCTCTGCTGCCGACATAACTAGTCATTTAAATTTTCTGGACCTAAAACTATAAGAGAGGTAAATTTAGTTGCAGCTGGAGGTCATTTAATTGCAAGCAAATGACCTCCTTAGAGACTAGTTCACAGAAAGACGAGTGGGTTTTTTATACGTTTTTGACCAAGGAAGACTTTCCTAAAACATTTGCATGAAAGTATCTTTCAAAGTTTTGGAACAACATACCTGTGTGAACTAACATTTTCAAACTTGTACCTCGAGTGTGTTGTTGGCCCCCGACAGTTTTTCTTTCAGACTTTTTTTCGGGGGAAGGGGGCACTTGAAACGTGTATATATTTCTAAATTTCTAATAAATTATATTTCGTTGGAGGGAAGGGAAAGGGAGGGTTGGCGGTAGAAGTTCGTTCTTTGGGGGGGGGGGGGGGAAGCGCCACCAGCCGGAAGAGATGCCTTAAGGAAACTCTGGCCCCCAAACTAATATTTGATAGTTAATGCAGTCCTCGGACTAAAAAGTTTGGAGACCCCTGATATAGATTAAAGTTTTTGGTAAAACGTTTGTTCGAATTGACAATTCGATTCTAGTTCCAATGATCAGTTACATTTTTTAATTTTGAGGAAAAAAGATACACCACAAGCCAATACACCGGTATTTCCCCATCAAATTGCAATATGTCTATTTCATATATAATTGCACATAGATTTGTAGTACTCACGTCACTCTTAAACGATGACTTAAAAAATCAAAAATTTTTGCAAAAGTTAGGATGGGAAGCAAACTCAACAATTATGAACAATAATTTCTATATTGCTTTAGATACATTCCCATACTATCGAGAAAGGCCAAAAATGATAGAAAGCTATATTATTTTAAGTAAAAAATAGTTTACATTGATGGTAATGCTATATTTATGGAGCAACTAGTAAGACTAATTTCACAATACTAGTTTATCATTAAACATGTATTAAATTAGTTTTGATGTATGTAGCAAACCGTATGTTTTACTTTCAGATTATTAAGAAAGTCAGATGGATATCTTCGATCATTTTGAAAATAATTGCAAGCAAAAAAAGCCTTGCGTTAATTACAAGTAAAACAGGCATAGAAGAAAAATCAGTGATTATGGTGATGGTACTTTAGATAAGATTTAGCTAAAAGAAAAGTAAGTGCAGAAAATATACCTTTTGAATGTACCTTTAAATATCGCCATGTTCTTTAAAATAATAATGTTTCAAACATACATAACAGCCACTGAATTCAATATTCATTTGTCATTGTTTTAGTATTGCCCGTTGCTTTACGATATGTTAGGTGCTTTAAAACAAATTTTGAAACACAATCTTTCAAGTTGTTTATTTTTAATTAAAACTATGTAAACATAAACTAAACAAAGTAATTTTGAAGTTAATAAACAATACATTTTTTAACAAAATGTTTCCAACTTACCTCACTAGTAAGTTTTGAAATTAAATCGTTTCCAATCCAAAAGTCTTTTTTGACATTTCCAAATCCATTTTTATATTCAATCCATTTTTTTTCGAAACTAACATCCCCGTACCAGCGTCTCTAAAACATAATTTTTTATAATCCAAATAATAAATTTTTAAAATGACAAAGTGTTATGATGTGTGAAATTGATTGAATGTAGTAAATTTAATAAATAGACAAAAAAAAATGCAATTTATTTGCTAGAAGGCCAATGTTCGATGAAAATAAATTGACTAAAAATATTTTTAAAAAATCTAATTTAAATTAACAGATAAAACAAACAAACAGAATTGTTCTTCTGGCAAAAAAAAATTAAGAAAATAGATATGTTCATGAAGAACAACAAAATACTAACTGTCGTAAGATTATCTTTCTAAGGATATATATATATATATATATATATATATATATATATATATATATATATATATATATATATATATCAATGTGAGACTGTAAGATCACAACCAGACAACAAATCAATAAAGAGAGTACAAAAATATCTACCCGTTCAAAACATAAAAGAATGTGACTATGAATGTGAATGTGAATATGAATGTGAATGTGAATGTGAATGTGAATGTGAATGTGAATGTGAATGTGAATGTGAATGTGAATGTGAATGTGAATGTGAATGTGAATGTGAATGCGAAAGCGAAGGCTAAGGCGAAGGCGAATGCGAATACGAATGCGAATGCATATGCTAATGTAAATAATTGTGTGAGGTTGAGGTTGAGGTTGAGGTTGAGGTTAGGGTTGGGGTTGAGGTTGAGGTTGAGGTTGAGGTTGAGGTTGAGGTTGAGGTTGAGGTTAAGGTTGAGGTTGAGGTTGAGGTTGAGGTTGAGGTTGAGGTTGAGGTTGAGGTTGAGGTTTAGGTTTAGGTTTAGGTTTAGGTTTAGGTTTAGGTTTAGGTTTAGGTTTAGGTTTAGGTTTAGGTTTAGGTTTAGGTTTAGGTTTAGGTTTAGGTTTAGGTTTAGGTTTAGGTTTAGGTTTAGGTTTAGGTTTAGGTTTAGGTTTAGGTTTAGCTTTAGGTTTAGGTTTAGGTTTAGGTTTAGGTTTAGGATTAGGTTTAGGTTTAGGATTAGGTTTAGGTTTAGGTTTAGGTTTAGGTTTAGGTTTAGGTTTAGGTTTAGGTTTAGGTTTAGGTTTAGGTTTATGTTTATGTTTATGTTTATGTTTATGTTTATGTTTATGTTTATGTTTATGTTTATGTTTATGTTTATGTTTAAGTTTAGGTTTAGGTTTAGGTTTAGGTTTAGGTTTAGGTTTAGGTTTAGGTTTAGGTTTAGGTTTAGGTTTAGGTTTAGGTTTAGGTTTAGGTTTAGGTTTAGGTTTAGGTTTAGGTTTAGGTTTAGGTTTAGGTTTAGGTTTAGGTTTAGGTTTAGGTTTAGGTTTATGTTTATGTTTAGGTTTATGTTTAGGTTTAGGTTTAAGTTTAGGTTTAGGTTTAGGTTTAGGTTTAGGTTTAGGTTTAGGTTTAGGTTTAGGTTTAGGTTTAGGTTTAGGTTTAGGTTTAGGTTTAGGTTTAGGTTTAGGTTTAGGTTTAGGTTTAGGTTTAGGTTTAGGTTTAGGTTTAGGTTTAGGTTTAGGTTTAGGTTTAGGTTTAGGTTTAGGTTTACGTTTAGGTTGAGGTTGAGGTTGAGGTTGAGGTTGAGGTTGAGGTTGAGGTTGAGGTTGAGGTTGAGATTGAGGTTGAGGTTGAGGTTGAGGTTGAGGTTGAGGTTGAGGTTGAGGTTGAGGTTGAGGTTGAGTTTGAGTTTGAGTTTTAGATTTATATTTAGGTTTAGGTTTAGATTTTGGTTTTGTTTTGTTTTTTTTTTGCTTTTTTTTGGTTTGGTTTAAATTTAGTTTTAGGTTTAGAATAGGTTAGGTTACGGTTTAGCTTTAGATTTATTTTAAATTTCTTTTTTAAAGCTACTGAGACATTTATATGCTTTTTTCAATTAATATATTTAAATTTAACTTAACATAGAACAAGATACACTGTTGGCAGCAAAATGGCCTGGCAACTGTCTTACTACCTGTTATATGTTTTGTGATTTTACATTTGAATTTGTATTTTAGAAATTAAATCCTCAAACCTGGATGAAGATCCACCCTCCACCGTCAGTTGATTGATCACACAATCCCCGTTGGAGATCTTTGATCAATTTGTTTTCAAGTAAAAAATAATATTCTGTCGATACATCTCTGAAACAGTCTTCCTTTTTTATAAGGAAATTTGTATAACATAAAATTATTCAAATGCTATAAAACAAATAATACTGAATTCTATGTTTTAAGTATAGTATTAAAATCAATTTATAACAGAAACACAAACAAATAAAATACACACTGAAAATTGTGTAGTTAAATGTATATCTGACTTTAGTATTTTTGAAACTGAGTTAATTATTCTAATCAATGTTTTGACGTTTTTAAGTGTATGTCTTAAATGTAACGTAAATATGATTTCATTGCTACGAATTTTGTTTTTTCCCGCCAATACAACTGACTACCTTTACTAAAAACATTAGAAAAATTTTTGTATTTGTTTTTTGTTTTTGTGACAAAGGATCGTAATATTTACCAGTAAAAACAAATTGTTATACCTTGAGAAACATCTTTTCGTCATAGAAGAATTCATGTTCGTCAGTGTTTATTTCATATGTGTCATTGTACATATCATAATGTTTATAGAAATCATCACCTTCACCTGTGTCAAACAAGTTACAGTCAATTTTAATTTTACTTAATTGTTTTTTTTGGACTTTATCGCAGTTCTTTTTCTAATGCTAAGGGATTAAACTACAGCGGACGACGTTGTTTAACAATTATCTTTTTCACGTTCGTGCCCAAGACGCATGAAACAGAAGAGGCAGAGTTTATCTGCTTCAGAGATCTCTACTTAAAAGGGATTCCGTAAAGTCATTTTAAGCTGATCCCCATTCATTTGCCTAACAGCTATATTGACTCATGGAAATTCATGAATTTTCTACTGACTTAAAACCCGGATTCGAACTCGAGACTTTTGGTTAAGTAGCCTAGCTCTCTAACGCTATGCCACGCCGCCCGATTGCTGAACAACTGAACAAAAAATTTCATACAAAATCTCTATATCAATGTATATATTTTATATATTTATAAAAATTTAGTTCGACACCTACATTAAACTTTACATTGAATCTTGTGGAAATCTTTTACATCACTGTTCCAATCTTAGTTGTATATTAAACTTAAACATTGACTAATCAAACCGCATTACTTTCTGTTAGAAGTATATAAAAAGCTTTCTCTTAAATAAAGATATATAAGACATTGTCCGCAATCGATTTGTTATTAGGTGTTTTTTTTTTAAATCATTGTTCAGTTCGATGTTTCTAATAAATAGGAAATAATGTGTCACAATAGTTCAAATAAGTACCTGCTGAGTTACGTGACTAAATTTATACTGTTTATATGATATGCGATGGTAAACGACAAGGGGAGTCTTTTACTAAAGACGAAAATTAATTATTTTTCAACGCATCTTTACTTCAAAATAGAGACATGCATGACAGTGATAATAGCAAATTAAATTTCGTTTCCTTACCTGAGCACACATTAAAGTTGATAGCAAACACTAGAACAAAAGCCACAGCAGACATTTTCAGAGTCCCCATGGATGTAGTCATACAGCGCTGAGAGATAAATGACGTGGTTATCGCTTGGAGTTTTCTATATATAATTGTATTGGATTTTAATGTTCTATAGAGCTCGTCCTGCGGGTCTCATCTGGCCTATAAGCTTTTGTTTCGCTTATTGCTTGACAATAAGGATTTTATCAGTTATAAAATCGGTTTAAGGCTTAATTCTCAATCCTAATATATACAAAAAAATCAAACCACTTCTCTCCCTCTCTCTCTCCCTCTCTCTCTCTCTCCCTCTCCTCTCTCTACCTCTCCCTCTCTGTTTGTGTCCGAAACATTTTTGAAGTTATGTTATCAGTATGTTCAGCAATAAACCGAAAACTTAAAAATACGAACTTATGTTATAAATACTGTTTGATGTTATTTTAAATGTATGAATTAAATTTTATTTAAAGCAGGAAAATAAAAAATAAAGATACATATTAATTTAAAAACACAATTTGTATTATTGTTTATTGATGCGACAAGAACGCATAAATTTATGACGTCACATCTCACATGTATAAACTACGGAAAGTACACACAACTTATCTTCCAATTTTAGGATAAGGAAATGAACTATTTCATTTAAATTTGATTTAGATCTATAGATCTACTTATCGTGATATTTTAAATGTGCCGGGATTTTAGCTATTTTGTTAATTCTTTGCATTGTCACTAATATCGTTCAACATGTAGTAAAGCATATTGCGTGTTAACCATTTACTATTTTATAAAATATTTTTTTCTCAAACAAGTATAACATTAAAATATATAGTTCTATAATTCACTTGTAAGCGTGCGGCGTCAAACCGGCCCGTGACAAAACGGCCCCGTCAAAACAACCCCGACACAACGGCCCCGACAAAATAGCCCATCAAGTCGACCCCGCCAAAACGTTCATAGTCAAATGGATCCCGTCATTTAGGCTCCAGTCAAAAGGGCTACTGCCCATAAGGCTCGCGACAAAAGGGCTCCCGTCAATAACGATTCTAACAAATAGGCTCCCGTCATTATGGCTACGGACAATTTGGCTCATATCATTTAGGCTCCCGTCATTTAGGCTCCAGTCAATTAGGCTCACGACAAAAATGGCTCCAGACAAAAGAGCTCCCAGCAAAAGGGCTCCAGTCAATATAGTTCTCGATAAAAGGGCTTCCAACATTTAGGCTCGCGTCAAATTGGCTCCCGTTAAATTGGCTGCTGACAAAAAGGCTCCGGTCATTCGTACTCTCGATAAATTGACTCCCGTCTATGTGGCACCCGTCATATAGGCTCCCGTTATTTAGACTTGCGACAAATCGGCTCCAGTCAATGTGGTTCCTGACAAAAAGTCTCGTCATCTTGGCTCTCGTCAATACGGCTCCCGACATAATGATAATGGCTCATGTCAACACCACCCATTCCTCGATGGACTACAGAAATAAGCCAAAGATAATAAAGCGTCCTTAGCTTTAGGTCGCAATGTCTTACTTTAAAAAAAAAGTATTTCTTGTACTGTATTAATTTTTAGTTTAGTGGTCATCTGTTACATTGCTACTTAGGGTTATAGGATGTTGCAGCCCATTATACACAGGCCGGGTTAGGGTCCCTACGATACAATAACAGTCAATATGCTTCCAGGTTATTAAAAAATATGACTTCTTTGACTCGTTGCCCCCCTTTGATAGCCAAATAGAGGACACGTAACTGTTTGACCGATCCTCCAAAGTGTACTGTGGCGGATGGGGCAGGCGATGGGCACCAAAAAGGGGGCTAAAAAATTGTCGTCAAATGTATTTATATATTTACAAAAAGTTATTTATAATTGTATTTTTTAACCATCGTCAAGGCCGAGTTCTATTTCCCTACAATCAAAAACACACTGTTGCCGGCAAAATTCTTTAGAAAAAAAAAGTCCATAGCACGGGAAGACGCTACATATGAAGTGGGCTTTCCTGATGCGCGGTTCTTCTTTGCGACATTGGTTAGGGACCCGAAATTCATTATACATTTTTCAATGTTAATAGGTGTTTGCGATAGTGGTTGAATTTGTATCCTGTACTATCTTGTATCCTACAAATACTGAAAAATAATATAATACTAGAAACTTCAGTTTTTTGTTTTTATAAGAAATATAATAGCAAACTTTTAGGGCCTATACTTGGAATAATCTCCCCTGAGTAAGTTTTACAATGGGCGATGCTGACGTACATAAACGCTTTGTTGTCTCTTTCAAGTTTTTTCCCGAGCCGACCCCCATCCCACCACTCTTTTTGGCCTCGCAAGTATCGAGTAGATAAATGTATCGTTTATGAACTACTTCCTAGCAACATTCACCACTTCAGCACATTTTTTCAAACACTACACAGTACTAGTCAGCAGATATTAATTTACTTACATAGTATTAGGTGCATCCCCCCACGCCTTGTAATACTAGCTAGTATGATTGTTAACATCTTCGTTTGTTGTTTTTGTAGTCCAGGAATCAATTTGTCAAAAGCATGTTTGCTAGCTATCATCCTTTTATGACGTCGACATGGTGGGTGGAGTGTCGATTAACATCGACTGTCGTGGACTGGGAAGGAGGGAGGGGAGTCCATGTGGACATTGAAATTAACATGTGAAAAACCTAGACAACAAACGCAAAATGTGTAACATGCATGCTTAATTTAAACAGAAACAGCTGAGCTTGGGTCGTGTGGCGTAAACAACAGCTCAGCATGCACTTTAATCAGGTTAATATAAAATTACAATACTCGAAACTTTGTAGAAAGCGAACTGTTTAAAGATAAAAATGTGATAACTCCTCAGAAAACGGTTTCTTGGTCGGGAATTGTTTTAAGTCGGGAGTTATTTAACCGGTGCTATTTTATAGTGAGCCAGTAAGTCGGGAGTCATTTAGTCGGGAGCCAATATGTCTGGATTTCTTTTGTCTAGAGTCAAATTGTCGGGAGCCATTTTGTCTGGAGCCAATATGGCGGGAGTCCTTTTGTCGGGAGCCCAACTGTCGGGAACCCATTTGTCGGGATCTAATATGTCGGGAGCCCATTTGTCGGTAGCCAATATGTCTTGAGCCCATTTGTCAGGAGCCAATATGTCGGGAGCCGCTTCGTCGGGAGCCAATATGTCCTGTGCCTATCTGTCGGGAGCCTATATGTCGCAAGTCAATATGACGGGAGCCCATTTGACGGGAGCCAATAAGTCGGGGCTCTTTTGACGGGGCTATTTTGACGAGGTCGGTTTGTCGGGGGTCGATTTGACGGGGTCATATTAACGGGGCCGTTTTTGGCGAAATATTTCAGACCAGAAGAGACTCTTAATTAGAGTTCCAAAGTTACAATATAGACAATGCTATTTAATGAGGGGATTGAGACAATACAGGAGAGTACAGGACAGTGCAGGTTTAGAGAACAACAAGCGGTGACAAACTTAGTGAGTTGGTCGCAGCTCCACGGGATATCTGTAGGCTTAGTCTAGAACAGTACAGGACAGTGCAGGTTTAGAGTACAACAAGCGATGACAAACTTAGTGAGTTGGTAGCAGCTCCACGGGATATTTGTAGGCTTAGTCTAGGACAGTACAGGACAGTGCGGGTTTAGAGTACAAGTGATAAATAAATGTTAACTTGGAATGAAGATCATATGTTAAAGTAATAAAACAAATATATTGCCTCAAAAGTTCAGTGTTAGGTATGTGGGTTAAAATCTAAGAGGTGAGTGAACGAAGATCTGAGTCAGTGTCAACATGACCTCGTCCTTTGTACACAAAATTCATTAAGTTTTAAGTCACGATGACCTAGCCATGAGATTAGTGGGGATGGGGTGATGCAGCTGGGACGGATTGGGCGTCCCCTATAGGCCCACAGGAAAACATTCGACTGGATATTTGGAATAATAATACATCTATTTTTTTTACCAAAGCAAAATGACCGGACGCTTATCTAACACTAAATTGAAAAAATTGAAAACATCAGTGAAGATTCTAAAGCACTGATCACAAAGGATATTCAAACACGACAATCTAATATTTAATTAAGCTAAAATGCTACACAGTTCTACACTAGTCTCTGGGCTTGTATGCTTTTATGTACTGTCTATTTGTGCTAAGGAGATGTAAAATTTACAGCTAAATGTTTACTGTTGTATAAATAGCCTACCAGCGAGTGATATTTGAACAATGTATTTTTACCGATATGATTTGGCACAGCAATGTTATTTAAATCTTCTGTACAACATGCTGAAAATAATTCGTTTGCGTGTGTTATATTTTACTTAAAGCAATCTAACACAGCTAACATTATTTGACAAATGTGCGTACCACTCTCCCCATCCTTAACATTCCTCCTTAAAGAAATGCTATCTAACAGCATGAATAGAAATACCATTGCGCTTACATCAAATAGATAATGTCGCTGTAACAGGCGAAATACTCACCAACATTTTGTTTTGTAGGGTTAGTGCGTGGGCGGTATTATCAATTATTGTGCTTTAATCACCTGGCCACTCTACCCCCACTTCCATAATCCAATCTGCATCAAACCTTGGATGAGGTATTGCTAACTTTTATGTTCTAGCCAACAACTCGTACTCTACCAAAGTTCGTATCTCTTAGTCGGTAATAAAAAGGTCAACTGGACGTGGGGATGCATTGGTGGTTTAGTGACCAGCTACCCCGCTGAGCCAAAATAGTTTGTAAATATATATAGCAGCACTGTGTTGCACAGTTATCGTCTAGTTGAGTTGTGATTTTCAACCCATATTAAAATATATTTTGTTTTCTCATTGCATAATGCATAATGTGTTAGGGTGGAACGTTTTCTCAAACACAAGAAACAAGAAAGAATATGTCAGTTTAAAGGCTTATAAAGAATATATATATATATATATATATATATATATATATATATATATATATATATATATACATATATATATGTATATATATAATTACATTTTGCTGTAACGAGTCATTTTTAAATTATCGCATATGCACGCTGTAAAAAAAACAATTAATTCGGCGCTGCGGGT